CGCCTCGGTAGTTACCGAGAGTTTTATTCCGTCGTCAAATGGAAATTTAGAGGGAAGATGTTTTATGAAAGGCAATTGCAAAGATAAACTCTGCCATTATATATTATGCTGCCTTGGTATTAGTGTAGTTTATATTGGTGTTTGTAGTAAGAAATAATTCGTTGCCGTCGACGATTTGGTGAATTGACAAAAATTAATAGGGTTAAAATTCGTTTTTATCCCAATAGGTATTCCAGATTTGGTTAATATATTGGACTAACCCGCCAGGGCCGGTCCGACTAATTACCCAAATGTAGCCGGAATGAAGTCAAATAATGGTCCTAGATGAATAAATCGGACTGCCAATCACTTCTCGACTAGTATTTGGTGTCACGAAGTCACAAAAAATTGGTAAACTTAATTTAATCTGAGTTAATAGATCAAGTGCATGTACCTAACCTAACCTCACCTCACCTAACCTAACGCAACCCGACCCGACCTATTCTAACCCTACCTGGCCTAAACATCTTGTAACCTGCACGCTATAGTAACATCTTTTTATTTTAATTATAAATATAGTTTATATTTTTTAGTTTCTCTCTACAATAATAAATCAGCTGTACTTCCAAATGTGTAGTTGTGGTGTTCATAGTTGCCTTTTAAGTTTTATTGCAGTCAATAACTTATTGTTATTTTCATAACTTATTTTTAGCTTATTTACCTAATGGCCACCCACTACAGGTGGCCATACAGAGGGAAGAAGACCAGTGGCCTGTGTAGGATCCCTCCATCGTTCTTCACTGTTCCATAGGTCTACCAGCCTCTGTGAAGAAGTGTTTCCTTACGTTTCTCCTGCACGATAACTTGGTGAACTTATATGAATGTCCCCCCGTGTTGGTGGTGCATAACATCATAAAAAATAGCCCAGGTTAACATCCTTTTCGTGATTGTGAATGTCCCAACGTGATCTACCACATTGTGTCTTGTCTGAAGAGTTGTTAGTTCTTAGTCACTCAGTCTATGGGGATAACAGAGATGATTTAGTTCAGGAATCATCTTCGTCGCTCTGTGTTGCATCATTTATATGAATCTTTCAGGGGGTAGAGTGTCTGGGCCTTAATACAGTGATTCAGTTGGGGACCTACGTGATACTCATAAGGTTGAAGGAGCCTTTTCTCAGCTTTATATTTGAAGGTACTACTAATAATTCTTAAATCTAGGTTAGCTTTTTTCATTGCTGCCCCCACTTGTTGTGCTGCCTTGAGTGATGGGTTTATTACAATGCCTAGATCTTTTCCTTATTAACAGTGTCCATGAAAGTGTTATTAACAGAATAGTTGTGATTAGGGTTGTGGTGTACCCTACATGCAGAGTCTTACATTATATAATGATATAAAGCCTATGCCAGTCATGCAACCATTGGCACAGGGCCGGCAGATCTTTTTGCATGGTTGTGACATCATCTTGGCTTGGTGCCTTCCCAAACATCTTTGTGTTGTCCACAATCTTGACAGTATGGTAATATACTGTCATCTATGTCATTAATGTAGGTCACAAATAGGGTGGGTCCTAGGATAGAACCTTTTTCTAAATTGAATTTACCCCATTTAATACCACCCTTTGAGTCAACTGTACATTCATTTCAATATATTGCCTGTAATGCCTTGTGCTTGGATCTTAGAAGCTAGTCGTGCATGTGGTACTTGTCAAACGTCTTAGAAAAATCCATATACAACCCATCCGCTGGTAGACCTTGGTCCAGGTACCCTGTTACCTCTTGAAGGAAAGTGACTATTTGTTAGGCAGGATTTTCTCCAGGAAACTGTTGTGATGCATTGGTAAGACTGTGCTTTGTCAGGTGTAGGATGATGGCACCACATCTCTTAATATTTAATCCTTATATTTACATATACTGTACTGTTTGTGATGTTAGACTGATCAGCCTTTAGTTCTCTCCTGTACTTTCTCTACCCTTCTTGTATACTGGGGTGACGTTGGCTGTACCTTGATCCAATGATTTACTGAATAGGAGTTTTAATGGAGTGTAAATCTTGTTTGTTACTTCCTTTATCACTTTGGTCTGTGCTCCGGCTACTCTGTCCACCTTATTCTAATAGTTCTTTTAATTTGCATGACATTTGTAAGTGTTTAGTACAGTTGTAGACGAAAGTTCACTCCCCGCGGTGAAACCGAGTCATGGGAATGAGGCTCTGAACTGACTTCCCCAAACTTGTATCTCGGATGGGGTCGGTGCTGCCTCATCTTGGGAGGGAGCGAACCTTTGACCCTGACTTTACATTTTTCTGTGATAACTTTTGCACCCAAATTATATTTTCATTTTGTATCATATTTCAGTGAGACTGATCTGATAAACCAATATAATTTAAACGTCCTCACTGGTGGCCTGTTTTAAGAAAAAAAATTTCTAGTACGTGGCAAATCTAGCATCGTTCTAGGCATTGTCACGTGGCTAATATTGGCACGAAATATCTTGGGCTTAAAATTGTATTATAATTATTCATATTTGGTAAACTTATTATTTTACTATGAAATAGTTTCTTATGAAATTTGGTAACAAAATAAATCATAGTTTAGGAGATAAAGGTCTCACATCCTACCAAAAAAGCTTCCTTTCTTACTAGTCATTCAGGTGGAACATTCAAAAGCGCTTACCGTACCTTTTTTAAACCGTCCGTATTACTAGGAGCTTAAGACTATAATCAACATAATAATATATCGCTTTGTATAAAGAAATATTTTCATTTATATAGTATTTACATTTATCACGTCTCTTTTCGTGACAATCAAAGTGAAATGCCGTCGGCTGTGAACTCACCAACACCCTGTATTTACTGGATAAGTTAATTTTGAGAGTAGTATTGCTGTGTGATATACATTATACCTTGAGGGTCTTACCTCTGCACTTTTAAAGATCTGTGGAAATTTAATCAACCAACACTTGACTAAATTGTTGTAAATTAGGTTCAGTAGTTTTGGTTGGGATGGTATATTTTGTCTTTTTCAAGAACTACTTGATACCACAGCTACCATCAAATTGCCTTAATGTTCCATGGGTTATACCTGCTGTCTAGGTACTTAAGTTTACTAGACGTTCAGGTAATCCTGTTATCAATTAAAACCTTCATTATCTATTATTAGTGTGGGAGGAAATCCGAGAACTTGCAATGGTTTGGAACACCACACTAGATAACATTTTCCTCATCTCTAGATCAGCACATTACAACTATGCTAACATTATTCTTCTCGGCAGATACATTCAGTGATGGAGGTGTCGTCACGATTTCACATACTGTCACGCATTTTCTAATTCAACGTTTATGGTGGACTCCACTTAAGGTTAGTTTATTACACTAGACCTTAAGGATTTTGTCTATCTTATGTCAGGTTTTGGTCATCCACAAGATTTAGTTTGATCTAATAATGGAAGTCTTGTACTTTGTGAATAATTTTGACCTGGTACAGTACAGACCAGTAGTATAAGGGTATTTCTGAATTTATCCAAGTGACCAAGTCTGTTTTGTATTCATCACTTGTCAATTTACTCGCCTTTTGGGTAGGTGAGGGGGTGATATTTGCTAGGTTTACACCGTTCAACACTCCTTACTCTGTCCCAGGCTGAAGTTTGGGCCCCAGAACAGTTTTGTAAGATACACACCGTACCACCAACACCCATTGTACTTTAGGTCAAATATCAAATTATTTCATTTCAAAACGTTACAACTTTACATATGACCATTAGATTTCAATGTCTTTAGCTTTTTGTACATAATAGTAAATTTATAATTTGAATTATAATGTGTACTTTCATGTACACATTACTTTCAAAATAATATTATGTACTGTATACAGAATCAAAAACGTATCTTTACGGACATGGCCGATTTATTTCAAAGCGAACACGGACACGTTGTCTCAGAGGTTGACAAAATCCTTCGTCCGAGGAATCATTGTCTACCACCATCATAAAGATGCATTTTTTATGTACACCTTGTAAGAACTACACTGAAGTGAGATATTACAATGCTTCTGTTGGTACAGTCTTGTGGTAATTTTTTTAGTTTTGATTTTGCATACCCAATAGGTCACTGCATTAGTTTGTAACAGATCTACATAGGCTGGCACTTGGATGTAAATTAGTGAGAAGTATACGTATGCATCACAGGGTCCTTACACTTTATACCTCACCTTCAGGTTTCAAGTTTAGTTTACAAGATCATTATTATTCTACTTATCCAAAATCGGAGTATAAAAGATGTCAAATTTATTCAGTGTTTATTTGATTATTAACATACAGTATATTGTATAATGAGCCAACATTATATTCTTCCTCAATACAAGTGCCAACCAGTTCACAATATATCTACCTTTTTTAATTTGTGGCTTGACTCCAGGCTTACTTATACATTCTTAAATATTATTTTAGTGTACTTTTAAATATTTTCTTAATTGTATAAATAAACTTGTGCTTAATAAGGTGGTAGTCATGAATGTGTGGGATGGTGGACCGTACAGAACAGTCGCTGGTACATCGATCTTGTACACCAACCACCTGTAATAAGATTTTGAATTTAGATCATTCTTAATTAACATAAATGTATCACTACCAATACACAACATTTACCCCAAATTTCTTGCATTCTATACTTGGATCCTTACATATATCCATACACTCTAGCACCCTTCTATAACACCTTACATGTGAGCACCAGCCTTCCTCCTCTCTTGTGGCTGCAGCAGTCTTCTCACAGGCATCATCCACAACATTCCTTCGCAGTACATGCCATTTTACTCAGATAAATTTAGAACATTTACTATTAATCACTGTACGAGCACACCACGAGTGCCCTCTCCACTGCCCAGCGTACGAGCGTTTCCCTCCACTGCCCAGCGTACGAGCGCCCCCTCCACTGCCCAGCGTACGAGCGCCCCCTCCACTGCCCAGCGTACGAGCGCCCCCTCCACTGCCCAGCGTACAGCGCGCCCCTCCACTGCCCAGCGTACGAGCGCCCCCTCCACTGCCCAGCGTACGAGCGCCCCCTCCACTGCCCAGCGTACGAGCGCCCCCTCCACTGCCCAGCGTACGAGCGTCTCCCTCCACTGCCCAGCGTTCCTGCTTCCCAACCCTTCTCACAAAGCAAGTCACTCAATTTCATTCCTACATTCAGTGGTTTTTAGGGTAGCCATACGAAGACAAAGGTAACTTAACTGGGGAGGCTGAATTAACAGGTGTGTGTTATCTCTTGCTCTAGATTGGTTCTGTCACTTCCTCTATGTTGGCCTTCAAGTACATCATCTGTCACCTGTAATATATTTCGAGTTATTTATGTAGAATGAAAGTTAAACATACAATATCCTTCTACCACTAGACCACCTGTACTTAAACATACTCTGTTGTACATAATTGATCACATTTTAATTATTTACAAACGTCTCCATTTTATCTAACTTGAAAATTAACTTTGTATTCATGATCAGTAAACATAAGTGGCTCATAAAATAGTTTGAATTAATGTTCTTTAAATATATTGGATAAAAAATAATGTTTCTGTATAATAGATAGTTTAATACTTATTTGGTTCCGTCTAGGTTAGTTATGTTTAATCTAAGTTACGCTGGTTAAGTTAGGTTAGGTTACTACTACTACTACTAATTTTCTCTAATAACCAGTAGGCATGTAGTCCTGCATATTTATACTGTCACAACTATTATTAATTTACTCTCATCAGTCTCTTACAGTCATTCCACACAGCCCTCCAACACACACACACACACCAACACACACACACACACACACACACACCAACACACACACACACACACACACACACACCCTCCACTGCCCAGTGTAGGAGCACAGTGTTGAGTGGTTTATGGGATGACCGTAATAGCTACCATATACAAGTAACTTAACTGATGAGGCTGAAGTAACATGATGGGTGTTAAATCTTGCTCAAGGTTCTGTCACTTCTCCATTGGCCTTCACGTACATCAGCTGCCACCTGCAACAAGATTAATGTTGTAATTAATGTAGAATGAAAGTTTAACCTGCAACTTCCATCTACCACTAGACCACATGTACTTGAACTGTCCCCAACTGTTTACATAAATCATTACCTCCACATTAGTTTACTCAAATTACTTTAACACCAATACAGTGCTGCTACACTACACTGCTTCATGCACTATACACAAGGTTTACTACAGCTTACTTACTCGACCTTCCCTCCCTCCTGCCCCTTCAAGTGTCCCCCTCGACAGCTTGGTGACACTTGGTTTGACTGACAAACTTCACCACAACCACCTGCCCACCTCGTGTATAATTCCTTCGTATGGGAACACGCAACCCTCTCCCATCTCCCCCCCCAACCAGCATAAAACACCCCACACCCTCTCGCAAAACGTTAAATGACCCCACAACAAGCCAGCCACACCCACCCACCCTTACAAAACATTAAACGACACCATAACAGGCTACACCCACCCACACCTTCACACAAAACGTTAAAATTTACCTCGAGGAATACTGTTGTGTAGTGTGAGAAGATTCACTTCACACTCGTGGTCTGTTGTCCCCACATACTGCACCACTGCACCTCATACTGCACCACACTAACCTCATACTCCACCACACCAATAACATGGTTTTGTACTGCAGTTGGAGCTGTAGTCATTCCTTGATCTGAAAAAAGAATGACAGATTCACCAGCACATTGTAATACGGAGATTGGCTCAGGTTAAATTGATCTTCAGCTGAAATAAGCTGGGGGAGGAATCTTCAGGCAAGCCAAAGGTTTTAACATTTTCCAGAGGTTAATTAGATGGTTGCTGCCTTATTTACCAATACATCTTAACGGCGTCTTTATATACATCTTGACATTTATTTTAGGAACCCGCCTCACCTCGCTCGTTCCCTACCTTACCTTACCTCACCCGGCTCCCTACCTCACCTCACCCGGCTCCCTACCTCACCTCACCTCGCCTGGCTTCCTGCCTCGCCTCGCCTCGCCCGGCTCCCTACCTTACCTCGCCTCACCTCGCCCGGCTCCCTACTTCACCTCGCCTCGCCCGGCTCCCTACCTCACCTCACCTCGCCTTACCCGGCTCCCTACCTCACCTCACCTCGCCCGGCTCCCTACCTCACCTCACCTCGCCCGGCTCTCTCTCCCTCCCTCCGTTCCTCCCCTCGCCTGGCTAAAACCCGTAATAAATTCGGTTTCAACTCCGAGAAATCGTAGTTAAAGAGTAAACAAAGAACTAGCCAGTAAAATATATTGTATCTTAATCACGCAAAAAGTTGTTATATATTTGTTAAACCGAGTCATTAGGGCGCAGTTTTTAATGCTGAATACAGTGGTGGTGATGAACGTTTGGGAAAATACGTAATTATTGAGTCATGACCACCCGGCTCCGCCGAAAGTGGGTTGGGCTTCGAAGCAAGAGTGAAAATGTGAAATTAAAAAAATAATACAGTTATCTGGTCATTGTTCTCACTTACTGGTTAATTATTACGTAAATACTGATGTATGGTTTACGCTCGTTACCCGCCACCTGCTTATAGTTTAGGCTCGTTTGTCATGGCTCATTTGGCGGTATATTTGCCTAAAACATTAAGAAATTACTGGTTAGACGTTAGAGAAACACTTAATATTATGCAAAACCATATTAATGTAATTGTTTAAGCTGCAAAGAAGTTACCATACACCTTACAGCCCAGTGAACTTGGGGATACGACCCTAGGAGGTAAGTGAACTGTAGCAACCGGCTGGCAAGTTTTTTTTACTTAAATCAGCATTTATTACGCCATAATTAAGTATATTAAACTCTACCCAAAAGAATAACCATTTCTCTTGGCCATTTTGACCTTAGACAGTCGGGGAAAAACATTACACGTATATAATGAAGACTAGAGGTGTGGGGCAGGCCACTTATGGGTTTTCGAGGTCATTTTTTGGTGCTTGTGTATTATTCAGGATGTACTTAAATAGTTAGGCACATTAAATTTTAGTTCAGAGAGAAAAAGTATTTTTGGCCAAAAATCCTTTAAGGCAATAGACTTACATTTTTTGCCATTTTCGGCCAAAAATGGATTTTGTTCAAAATTTCAGTATAGGTACTCCTGAATGTGCTGATTAAGGATCTGTTAACCAAAATTTGATATCTTGATTATAACTTGTTCAAATGGCTTTTAGAAAATGTTCAAATGATTTTTAGAATATTTAATTACTTTTGCAATGCTAATTACTCGCCACTTATGGGTTTTCGAGGTCATTTTTTGGTGCTTGTGTATTATTCAGGATGTACTTAAATAGTTAGGCACATTAAATTTTAGTTCAGAGAGAAAAAGTATTTTTGGCCAAAAATCCTTTAAGGCAATAGACTTACATTTTTTGTCATTTTCGGCCAAAAAATGGATTTTGTTCAAAATTTCAGTATAGGTACTCCTGAATGTGCTGATTAAGGATCTGTTAACCAAAATTTGATATCTTGATTATAACTTGTTCAAATGGCTTTTAGAAAATGTTCAAATGATTTTTAGAATATTTTAATTACTTTTGCAATGCTAATTACTCGCCACTTATGTGTTTTCGAGGTCATTTCTTGGTGCTTGTGTATTATTCAGGATGTACTTAAATAGTTAGGCACATTAAATTTTAGTTCAGAGAGAAAAAGTATTTTTGGCCAAAAATCCTTTAAGGCAATAGACTTACATTTTTTGTCATTTTCGGCCAAAAAATGGATTTTGTTCAAAATTTCAGTATAGGTACTCCTGAATGTGCTGCTTAAGGATCTGTTAACCAAAATTTGATATCTTGATTATAACTTGTTGAAATGGCTTTTAGAAAATGTTCAAATGATTTTTAGAATATTTTAATTACTTTTGCAATGCTTATTACTCACCACTTATGGGTTTTCGAGGTCATTTTTTGGTGCTTGTGTATTATTCAGGATGTACTTAAATAGTTAGGCACATTAAATTTTAGTTCAGAGAGAAAAAGTATTTTTGGCCAAAAATCCTTTAAGGCAATAGACTTACATTTTTTGTCATTTTCGGCCAAAAATGGATTTTGTTCAAAATTTCAGTATAGGTACTCCTGAATGTGTTGCTTAAGGATCTGTTAACCAAAATTTGATATCTTGATTATAACTTGTTGAAATGGCTTTTAGAAAATGTTCAAATAATTTTTAGAATATTTTAATTACTTTTGCAATGCTAATTACTCGCCACTTATGGGTTTTCGAGGTCATTTTTTGGTGCTTGTGTATTATTCAGGATGTACTTAAATAGTTAGGCACATTAAATTTTAGTTCAGAGAGAAAAAGTATTTTTGGCCAAAAATCCTTTAAGGCAATAGACTTACATTTTTTGTCATTTTCGGCCAAAAATGGATTTTGTTCAAAATTTCAGTATAGGTACTCCTGAATGTGCTGCTTAAGGATCTGTTAACCAAAATTTGATATCTTGATTATAACTTGTTGAAATGGCTTTTAGAAAATGTTCAAATGATTTTTAGAATATTTTAATTACTTTTGCAATGCTAATTACTCGCCACTTATGTGTTTTCGAGGTCATTTTTTGGTGCTTGTGTATTATTCAGGATGTACTTAAATAGTTAGGCACATTAAATTTTAGTTCAGAGAGAAAAAGTATTTTTGGCCAAAAATCCTTTAAGGCAATAGACTTACATTTTTTGTCATTTTCGGCCAAAAAATGGATTTTGTTCAAAATTTCAGTATAGGTACTCCTGAATGTGCTGATTAAGGATCTGTTAACCAAAATTTGATATCTTGATTATAACTTGTTGAAATGGCTTTTAGAAAATGTTCAAATGATTTTTAGAATATTTTAATTACTTTTGCAATGCTAATTACTCGCCACTTATGGGTTTTCGAGGTCATTTTTTGGTGCTTGTGTATTATTCAGGATGTACTTAAATAGTTAGGCACATTAAATTTTAGTTCAGAGAGAAAAAGTATTTTTGGCCAAAAATCCTTTAAGGCAATAGACTTACATTTTTTGCCATTTTCGGCCAAAAATGGATTTTGTTCAAAATTTCAGTATAGGTACTCCTGAATGTGCTGATTAAGGATCTGTTAACCAAAATTTGATATCTTGATTATAACTTGTTCAAATGGCTTTTAGAAAATGTTCAAATGATTTTTAGAATATTTTAATTACTTTTGCAATGCTAATTACTCGCCACTTATGGGTTTTCGAGATCATTTCTTGGTGCTTGTGTATTATTCAGGATGTACTTAAATAGTTAGGCACATTAAATTTTAGTTCAGAGAGAAAAAGTATTTTTGGCCAAAAATCCTTTAAGGCAATAGACTTACATTTTTTGTCATTTTCGGCCAAAAAATGGATTTTGTTCAAAATTTCAGTATAGGTACTCCTGAATGTGCTGCTTAAGGATCTGTTAACCAAAATTTGATATCTTGATTATAACTTGTTGAAATGGCTTTTAGAAAATGTTCAAATGATTTTTAGAATATTTTAGTACTAATCAATACTCACCACTTATATGGGTTTCGAGGGTCATTTTTTGGTTAGCAGTAGTATTATTCAGGATGTGCCCAAATAGTTAGGCACATTAAATTGCAGTTCTACCAGGGGAAAAAAGTATTTTTGGCCAAAAAATCCTTTTAAGGCAATAGACATTTTTTGCCATTTTTCGGCCAAAATGGATTTTTGTTTAAAATTTCAGTATAGGTACTCTGAATGCTGCTTAAGGATCTGTTAACCAAAATTTGATATCTTGATTATAACTTGTTCAAATGGCTTTTAGAAAATGTTCAAATGATTTTTAGAATATTTTAATTACTTTTGCAATGCTAATTACTCGCCACTTATGGGTTTTCGGGGTCATTTCTTGGTGCTTATGTATTATTCTGGATGTACTTAAATAGTTAGGCACATTAAATTTTAGTTCAGAGAGAAAAAGTATTTTGGCCAAAAATCCTTTAAGGCATAAGACTTACAATTTTTGTCATTTTCGGCCAAAAATGGATTTTGTTCAAAATTTCAGTATAGGTACTCCTGAATGTGCTGCTTAAGGATCTGTTAACCAAAATTTGATATCTTGATTATAACTTGTTGAAATGGCTTTTAGAAAATGTTCAAATGATTTTTAGAATATTTTAATTACTTTTGCAATGCTAATTACTCGCCACTTATGGGTTTTCGAGGTCATTTTTTGGTGCTTGTGTATTATTCAGGATGTACTTAAATAGTTAGGCACATTAAATTTTAGTTCAGAGAGAAAAAGTATTTTTGGCCAAAAATCCTTTAAGGCAATAGACTTACATTTTTTGTCATTTTCGGCCAAAAAATGGATTTTGTTCAAAATTTCAGTATAGGTACTCCTGAATGTGCTGCTTAAGGATCTGTTAACCAAATTTGATATCTTGAATATAACTTGTTCAAATGGCTTTTAGAAAATGTTCAAATGATTTTTAGAATATTTTAATTACTTTTGCAATGCTAATTACTCGCCACTTATGGGTTTTCGAGGTCATTTTTTGGTGCTTGTGTATTATTCTGGATGTACTTAAATAGTTAGGCACATTAAATTTTAGTTCAGAGAGAAAACGTATTTTTGGCCAAAAATCCTTTAAGGCTATAGACTTACAATTTTCGTCATTTCGGCCAAAAAATGGATTTTGTTCAAAATTTCAGTATAGGTACTCCTGAATGTGCTGATTAAGGATCTGTTAACCAAAATTTGATATCTTGATTATAACTTGTTCAAATGGCTTTTCGAAAATGTTCAAATGATTTTTAGAATATTTTAATTACTTTTGCAATGCTAATTACTTGCCACTTATGGGTTTTCGAGGTCATTTCTTGGTGCTTGTGTATTATTCTGGATGTACTTAAATAGTTAG